AAAATGTTAAGAAATGACCGAGTTATGTAAGTTAAAAGATGAACATCATATTCTATCACGAAATGTTATATACGTATGTTGTAATCCTTTCGAATAGACTTAAATGACATAATTAGGTTTTGTAATCTATATAAAAGTTATAGCCTTGAATGTTAAAATTCAAATTTCATTGGAATCACTTAAAAAGAGGGTCTAGAACTCAGATTATGATTAAATTATAAAGCCGAGGTCAATATGTCAAGTTTAGACTAAAACATTGCAGTTTTGTATTTTTTTAAAATAATAGATGACATAATTAACTCTTAGCGTCAACATAGAAATTGAATATAATTGTCTTATCTTTCTAATAAAATTAAGATCAACTTTATATCATATATATAGATCCAGATAGGACGTTTGGATCACACAATACCTTATAAAGTTAAATTGTGGAAATTTAGTTTGTGAATGAAGATGATGAATAACTTTACCATTTAAGTGTTTGATCTTATGAATGATTTGAGGTACTTATATCAATGTTTAGGAAGGTTTCATTATGGTAGAAAACAATTATTAATAGGTTATGATGTAAATTGATTGTTAATGACTTGAGATGTTTTAATGATAACAATGTCTAAGGACTTCATATGTGATAGTTATAAAGTTGCTAGACTAGTTAAGGTATTGATTTAAGTTCTTAATAACATTGATTTCAATGACTATGGTTGAGATGTTAACATATGATTAAACAATCTCATAATGATTCTTACTTGAGGTGTATTGGAGGATGTTGTGTAATCATTGTATTACTTAATAACTAGTTGTAGCGTGTGAGTATGCATTGATATGACATATTGTGAGCTATGTATGAATTGATTGATATGCTTTGATATTGATGCATTTGATATGTATGGATCTTGTAAAGGTCATATGATGAGAAGTCTAAGCGAGGTTTTAGCCATGATATGATATGATAAGATGTGTTATGTGTCATGTTATAAGACCATGTGAATGTAATGCATAGAGTCTATTTGACATGCATCATATGCATGAAATATTTAAAGGGCACAATATAAAATACACTGTCAGGGAAGGTCCCTTATGTAAAATTTTGGGAATCAACCTTGAAAATAGCTCGGTTTGGAAGTCCTAACTAGTCCTGCCCTCATGAGCATGAGTGTATCTCAAGCGAATTAGCTATCCCAACCAAACTCTAGTAGTATATCCTTCTAATAAGAGTGTGTAGAGGGTGTGATCCAACATGTATTCCTAGACTATTTTACGTGTATTACTAACAACAATGCATAAGTGTGATATATGATGTTTTTACTGACGCCACATGCATGATAACATGTAATCCGTGTCCATTGCATAATGCATCTTAATGTTATGTGGTATTTAGTTGTTATATTGTGAATGAATGAAATATGTTATATGATCAATACCTTTATGTTGTGTTGATATATGTCTTGTTTGTGTTTGACTACTTGACTACATCTTACACAATGAGTCAGAGTGAGATGTTTCTCACTTTCTTTATTTTGTGTTTCTCTTCTTGTATGTTTTGCATGTGATCTTTAGCATGATGTTGATGATGTTAGTGACGAGACTTAGTCCTCATAGAAGGGTTATACTTTAATATGACACATGACATCGAAGAATTAGTTAGGACTAGTTAGGATTTAATTTGAATAGTTTAATTTTAACTCCTTTGTAATTTAATATTTTTACTAAGTCTAGTTTATGTTAAATGTTATTCTCTCTACATGTATGATTTTGAATTTATCTATTATATTTGAGATTATTCAGTTTTTTTGATATATTATATGTTATGACATGTGAGATAGAAGATGTCACATCTTCAAGAATGATATATAGCTTGCATTTAACTAATTGTGTTATATTAAACATTGTATTATTTTATGCAGTTAATATACTGTTTTTTAATATTATTCCAATATGAAAAAGTTTCAAACACTAGTACAAAAGAGGTATTTCACGTCGAATATTTTGAGCTTTTTACGTCAGAAAAAATATCGACGTAAATGCGGGAGACGTAAATTTACGTCGGCCTTGTAAAACCGATATAAATTTACGTCGGACATTAGAAAAATTCGACGTAAAAAAGTAGTAAAAAAAACATAAGAATGCAAGCAGAACAGCCCGTTCTGCTTGGAGAACGGGCCGTTCTGTTTGGACAATCGGCCGTTCTGCTTGGAGAACGGGCCATTCTACAAGCAGAACAGGCCGTTCTGCTTCGTAGAACAACCCAAAAGAAAAGGCCAACGACCTATACAAATAGAACAACCAAAAAATCGAATAGAACAGATAGCTACAATAGCAACGCAAAGCAAAAAAATGTTAACGAAATCTTGATTCATACATGATGAGCTGCAACAATGTGCGAATGAGTAACAAAGAGTTCACTCCTCTACAAAAGACAAAAAAACGAGTCAGTAACAAAGGAGAGGGAGAGGGTTTACAGAGAAAAAAACGAAAAGTGATGAAGAGTGAATGCGCGCGGTGTACCTCGCACTCACTTATTCAATTTCGCGTCCTTTTTTTTACGTCGGAGCTGGTAGGGTTCGACGTAAAATGTCAAATCTACGTCGGACAAAACATACATCCGACGTAGATTTGACTTTTTACGTCAGACCATACCAGGTCCGACGTAAAAAAGTTTGCAAAAATTACGAAAATGCCATCGCGTCTTTTTTACGTTAGATTTTCGTATTTCTGACGTTAAAGAGGTGACGTAATATACTAATTTTCCACTAGTGAAATTAATCGGTCTCCATACTTAAGTCGTTTTGAATATCCACTTCCATATACCATGATTGTACTTCTTCACGGGGGAACAAGAATGCAAAAATAAGAGAAGAGTTATGCATGTGAACATGCTGGAAGAGGGACACATGAGATTAAAATGAAGGAACACAAATCCAAAATGAGTCAAAACGTTGTAGAGGTTGGTGACTTGAAATTATTCGTGATGAGTGAAGTTGTTGAGGGTAGGGGTCGAGAGGAAGAGGAGAAACATGACGCAAAAGTCCAACCCTTAGAAAATGAATTCTGGACCACCCAACCATGTGTACACTTCACTATGTCTTTCTTTAACTTTTGGACGTTAGCTACAAATTGCACTTCACTTTGTCTTTGTTTTGGTTGAGATGAATAGGATGAAGTCTTGCATCTCACGTATAGATTCTAAACTTTTACTCGTCTCTTTAATAAAGTAAATGCAACTTTTTTTTTTTGGTGAATACTTGTTTGAGAGAGGTTTTCTCTTCTTTGAGTCTAGGTGTTACTCTCTCTCCCTATTTCTTTTTTTTGTTAAAAAAAGCAATGGAGATTAAAAGTTTCTTTGGATAAAAATTAGATGTGCTTTTTGAGAGTTTCTTTATTAAAATATATATATATATATTTAGTAAAGAAGTATTAAAAATTTCTTCTAAACTTATATTTAAACAAACTCTATTTTTTTTTGTGGGACCAGATAAAATAAACATCATATACATGCACCAAATTAAATTTTAATTTGATGTCTTTTAGAATTTACTTTACTTAAATAATGCTTTAGGGTAATATACAATATTTATATAGATATAATTTGAATAAAAATATCTGTTATAAAATGTTTTTATTTTTTAAGTTTTATATTTAAATTATATATAATGTAAATATATATTTTATTGAAATCTTACCTTGATTATCGTCCAACCTAATCTTGGACCGAATGATTGGGACAGGTTAGTTCTCAAGTTTGCAAGAACAATTAATGTTTTTAAACACTATATTTTTATTAACAAATCATTAATCAGAGTGATATTGGATTCGATCTTCTTAAGTAAGATCTTGAATTCGAATTTTGTATACAAAAAGGATATTGTTAGGAGGAAAAGTCCTACCGAAGATGATCAACTAGATTCTTCAACAAACATTAGTCATTGATAAAATTTGTAGATACTTCATACTAATAACATGGTTGAAAAAATATTATACTTTTTGAATAGTTCTTTTTATTGGTATAATAAATACACTATATTTTGAATTTTCTTATGTATTTATTTTAATATATTTTATTATTATTTGGAATTCAACCAAATTATATCCCATCAATGCTAGTCTTAAAAATTAATAAGAATAACATTTGTAATAATTAAATTGTCCAAAACATTATTTAATTCGTTTTTTATACATTATTTATTATTTCATAAAATTTATATAAATTTTACTAAAATAATTAAGCCCTCTTTCATTTTAATATCCACATGGTTTTATCTTATAGTAGTAGTAATAAAAATTATATTACTAGCATTTTTACCCTCGTCCTAACCATATGCTTGAATCGAACAAAGTTGCTTATTAGTTGTGAAAAAAGGTAAAAGAAAAACTAATACAATAAGGAAAGTACTCATATTAACTAAATAAAATATTATTATTATTTTAAAATTTGTTTTACTTAAAAAATTTAAAATATAATTAAATGGGTCGGAAAAAATAAAGTAAAATTGTGATGATTCAATGAATAAACATAATTTTTAATTAGGTATAAAATAAATAAATAAATTATGTAAAAATATTTATAGTAACAAATTTAACAAAGAAATTTTTTTATTATAATATTTTGAATAAAAATATTTACAATTTTAATGTATTAAGAAAGTTATAAACCAAAACCCAATGGTTGAAAACCCAAATTTGACATTAAAAAAAATAGTCAAGCAACTGATTCAAATAAATTAAAGAAGAGGTGTGAAAGATGAATGAATAGAGCGAGAAAAAGATAAGAGAAGGTAGAAGTAGCCTAGTCCCACTCTCCGTAAATACTAAATAGTAAATACCAATGCACCCCAACCTGTCACCAGCCTGTAAAAGTAAAACGGAAGCACCCATAATATTTATTATTTAATTTTAAAAACAAAATAAATATCCGACGTGGCAATCACAACCGAAGACACCTCGTCCAACGTTATATATATATCGCTCATCTCTCAACACCGTGTCTCCAAGGTAACAAAACAAATTACATGGGCAATTGCATTCAGACATCCTCCCAAACGACGACGTACGCCACCGCCAAAGTCGTCGTTCACGACGGAAGGCTCGAGGAGTTTTCCTACCCCGTCAAGGTCTCCTATCTCCTGCAGCTCTACCCAGCGTGCTTCATATGCGACTCCGACGAGATGGGCTACGACGACGTCGTTTCCGCCGTTCACGAGGACCACGAGCTCCGCCTCGGCCAGCTCTACTTCGCCCTCCCCCTCACCCGCCTCAAGCGCCACCTCCCGCCGCACGAGATGGCCGCGCTCGCCGTCACCGCCACCTCCGCCCTCGCCCAATGCGCCCCCCGCCGCAAACAGATTCTTCTCCTCTCCGCCCACGGGAATGCCAAGCCCGGCCGCCGTGTGGCGCCCCACGCCGTCACCAGCAAAACTGCCGTCAGGGGGAGGGGCAAGTTCACCGCCACGTTGAGTTCCATACCCGAGCAGGGGTAGTTTTGGAACATTAAATTCAAATATGAGCTTTTGCTTTTCTATTCTTCTTGTATATATACTCCCCCAAAGGGGGAAAAAAAAAACTATAATACTATTAATTTTTCAACATTTCAGGCCTCTTTCATTAACAACAACAATGGAACTTATGCATCTCTACGTAGTACGTACGCTGCTTTTCGATCACTAAACAACTTTACCATATCTTACGTCAAAATACGTAACTCAATTCTTGTACTAACTTTATTTATTTCGAACAAAAGTACTCATCATATTTATCGAGTTCTTCTTTTTCACATTTTTTCTTCTTTTCATGTTTTCACCTTAACCACCACATGTGTGCATTTACAATTTATGTTACTTTGTGGAATGCAGCTCCCACCAATTGAGATTTCTGCACAAATTTTCTTCATAAATACTCAAATCTTACTTTTTCACACATTTTCAAGAAAGAGATTCATTAAATGTGAAGATCGCAAAATTTTGTAACTTCGATTAAATTTGAATCAATAATAAAAATGTATTGAAAAAATTAACGGACTGAAAATAGTGTGTTGAAGAGTTATTTTATCAGCATTTCTCACTTTTTATTTTTAATTTTGTATAAAACTTTTTATTATTATTAATTAATGAATTAGTTTTTCATTTCCAGGCTTAAAATTCAGTATATTGTTAATTCTATCCCGATGGGTTGTCATTTGGAGGTAGTTGTTTTTTTTGTTTGTCCTTTAAGAGGAATTGAAGAATGAAAAAAGATATTAGAACACCTAAAAGTTCTATGCATCTTCAAATAGACAGAAGAAAAGAAAAGAAAAAAAAGAAGAAGAAATAATTGATATGATTGATGATATGTTAAAAGAATGATTTGAATCTTTTTATGTGATATTTTTATTTAATAAAGCCTCAATCTTAATTAAAAATAAGGAAGAGAGGATTTAATTATATGTGAATTTTTTTTTCATGGTAAAAATTTACAAAAAATATTGTAAAAATTTTATTTTGTTTATTGCAGATTTTCTTGCAAAAATAAATTCACAAGTAAAATTTAGTAAATGGTAAAAAAAATTCGCAAGTAACTTTTCCTGCGGATTTTCCTACTAATTTTAATTCGCAGGAAAAATCCAAAAAATATTTAAATTTATAAGTTTAATATTTTAAAAAACTTTAAGTCCCACATCGATTGAAAGTAAAACAATTAAAGAGTATATAAGTTAGAGCAACACTTACCTTACAAGTTGATTTGTATGGTTAAGTGTTAGGCTTATAATCTACTATCCTAGAGTTTAAAAGATTATATATCACATGTTAGAAGCGTGGAAACAAATGTTTCAGATGAATTCATTGTGAGCATTTGAAAGTTGAAGAATTATTTATAGAATTTGTAGTAATTTCTTTAATTTTTTCGTAAAAAATATTCCTGCAGAATTTCTTGCAAAAAAATTCGTAGGAAACTTTCCTACGAATTTTTTCGCAAGAAATTTCGTAGGAAAATTTCTTGCAAATTTTAAAATTCGCAAAAACATATTATCCACAAAGGTATTACCTGCATATGAATAATGTTTGCTGCAAATTTTAATACAAAATTCGCAGGAAAAGTCGCATATAATAAGAGAAATTCTAGTAGTGATTACTTAATAAATTTACTTATAATTTTTTAAAAAATAAGCCGATAATATTACTTATAAAGAGGAAAGTTTGATATACAATATAACATATTATTAAATTATTTTCTTTAATTTCTCTTATCATTCAAGTTTTTTTCATTTTTCTTTCTTTCCCTTTATATATATATATATATATATATATAATTTTTTTATTTTCTCTTATTCGTGATTGCTTATGCTCTACTAAAATCTTAAAATTAAATTAAAAAACATCTATTTGTTAGTGCTACCATTGAATTTTTTATTCTTCTACTACATTAAATTGAGAATTGGTGAATGTTTAAAAATAAATGATTAGGTACTATATTATTTCATCTTATTATCATTTACTCATTAAAAATTCATAATTTGAATTGTAAATTATAATTCAATTATTTTTGTTTATACTTGTCTAATTATTTGGGTTTGAACAAGTTGCATAGAAAACAAAATTTTGATAATCTAAAATACAATAGAAATAAACAAATTAAAATTGATATCGATTTCAAAAGGATGCTCTTGATAAATATTATTTAAAACATTCTATAATTTTTTTTCGAAATGATACAAATCTAGATAATGTAGACTCTAAAACTAAAAATTTTGAGAATGAAGAACTATATAAAAATAATAAAAATTATGATATTTTAGTTAAAAATAATGAAAATGAAGATGATTATCATGATAAAATTAAATATTTTAATAATAAAAATTAACATGTCCTTGTTGGACAATCTAATTATTATTGTTTATTAGATATTTATAATCTAATAAAATAAAATAATCTTAAAAGTGATTTCTAAGATAAATTACTAAAAAAAATGATACTGTCCATTGTTATAACAGTCTTAAGAATACTTTTAATATCTTAATTAATGTTTTTTTTTCAATAAAAATATAAAAACAATACTTAAAAAATTGAAGGTGTCAATTTTTCTTCTTCTTTCACTTAGAGTCTTAAAAACTCAGACACTAATCATATTTCTTATTTTTTTTATTCATCTCTCTCTATTACTCAAATCTTTGGTGTGGTCTTCCAAATTAAAAATGGGATATCGCAATGTTTAGCGAGAAGCTGCCTTAATTGTCCCCACCTGGCTCGGTACAATATGTAAAAATGGATAAACCTCACACGTAAAATGTATTAAGAATTAAACAACATATATCATCAACAGAAACCCAAGAATGATGGCAAATTAATATTGGGTCGGTTACACGTAATAGATATTAATTAACTAATTACACAGTGAAACCTACACATCTACATATATAGAATAGGATGATGAACAAGGGCTTATCCTCAACACATTTGTCAAGGACAGAAATGCCGGTGACAAGGAAATCTGCACAGAAGACGCTCTTTCCTTGTTTTTGGACTTTTCTTATCATCCAATACATGCATGCGCGAGTTGAGTGACAGTACTAGCTACTGTATTCGGTGACAAAAAGTACAAGAGATTTCCTGCAACTTAAAGAATAATAATAGTCTAGTTGGGCGTGTGACATGGACGTGATATAGAGACCAAAAGGTTAAGGTTAATTAAGTTTAAGGGTATGGTAAATTAAAAATGGAGAAGGAAAATGAGAGTGAGTGATATAAGGCACAATTTGGTTTATACACGGCTTGTTATTAAACGCAAGAAAACGAGTGAGAAGGCGCGGGGTGGTTATTGTTTCTGTAATGTTGCCTTTAGATGGAGTCGCTGTCTGTGACGGAATTCCTAATACAGCTGTATAGTATATATAACAAGCTTATATAGTATCGGGGTACGCAATGATGATAATAATAATAATAATAAAATATATATATAGTAATGAATGTTGCGTTTGCGTATGGTTGAGGTTGAGGTTGAGGGTGGCCTAGGGTGAAACTGAATACTGGACCCGTTTGTTAGTTGGCTGAGTAATTAGGGTTAGAGGGTAGAATTTGCAGTGCACCAAGACAACTAGACAAGGAATTGCACAAAGCATGGGAATGATGTTCATGCATATATGATCCAAGGTGATGCACAGGACGAAATTGTAGGTACTTGTTGAAGCGTGTTCAAGACATGAAAATGACCTATGTGACGACTCACTATGTATTGTACTTTTTGACCTGATTCCAAGCTGTTTGCGCCTGCCGTTTTCCTTTCGGCCATTTAGTGGAGAAGGACTTGCTAGCGTGCCGCGCATCATACACTCAAAACCAAGAGTAAATTTAAGATATGTAATATACATAAGTAATTTTTATGTTATAAGTTAATTTTGTAAGATTAAATTTAATTCTTATTCTATATTTTTAACATGATATCAGAACTTACTTATAAGAATTTATGCATGATCTTTTAACAGAGGTGGAGGAAGGTGATCAGAGACAAAAGGAAAAATAGAAAAATAGAGAGAGAAAGTGATATATATTATGCGTAATGTAATGAAGAAGATAGAGAAAAAAATGGAATTAGGAGTTATAAGAGGATATATGTATGTATATCATTACTCTCATCTCAAGTGACGATACAATTAAAATCAAAATATAGAAATAAAATAATGTAAAGTGATATAAATGATTGTTACAAAGTCGTCTATCTAGACATTCATTTTGGATCATGTTGACTAATTATATAATATAGAATGAAAAATTACCATTATTTAGATAATTAAGTTTATTTTTAGGGATGAATTAGACCAAACTCTACTATTCTGGTTAAATAGGTGAATGGAAAATATATAAGGAAGAAAAGAAGTTTTTTTTGATTTTTTTTTTCTAAAAGTTATTTATATTCTTATCTTTTTTCTTTATATTTTCTCTCTAATAAAAAAAACATTGTTATTGGTGTTTTGTTTTCTCTATTTCCTTACTTTTATCCAAACATATATCATCAATAATCGGAATATCTACACTTAAATCCATTAGTTTTCCTTATGTTCATATATTTAAAAAAAAAAACAATAGAAAAACTAATTTGAAAAATAGCATTACTTTTGTATTTAGTATGACGCGTTTTGTGCATGGGTAATGAATGCCGTGGGTGGTGAACTGGTGCTATAGGGCCATTCAACTTTATCAAGTATTCTGAAAGATAAAAAAATTAGTTATGCACATTTAATGTCCTTTTTCACATTGCGTTCGGACAATACTATAACATATACAGCTGAAAGAAATTTTAAATACGAATTTTCTTTTAAGCCTGATGCCAGTAAACCCCATATATAGATTAATATTTGATGCGATTATCTTCAAAGAAAATAAAAATACCAGCTAGTATGAACGTATATCTAAGGTCAAACTTGCACAATTTGAATATAATGTATGATCGATGTGTAAGTTACACAATTTAAAAAGCCAAATGAAACACGCGTTTGATAAAAAAATAAAAAAAAAATTGCATAAGCAGTAAAAAAGCGATATGATAATTGACGTCAACGAAGGGAACCCATTAATGAAAATGAATATATATAGCGTTCGAATATATAAGAATAACTT